CTCTCTCTCTCTCTCTCTCTCTCTCTCTCTCTCTCTCTCTCTCTCTCTCTGTATTATTGTAACAAATTCGGCTAGAGGCTAAGAGGAGTTTGTGATTTGGTATTTAGCACATCTGTTCTATAGGTGCAAAGTAATTTTGAGGTAAATATTTAACTGCTGTGGTGGCAAACATGTAAATTGCAGGTTTACAGTTGCCAAATGCTTTTCTAGACTGAAAGCTTAAAACTTAAACATAGGAAATGTGGAAACGTGAGTCAGCCTTGTTAGTACTGTGTACAGTGATGAAAAGGTGAGCCAGGACATGTTTAGATTACGAATGATCATTGAAATGAATATTTATGAGTACTTGATGGATGACGCTCTGGAGGCCCCAGTTGATTTTAATGACACACAGCGTAGTTCTGCATGGAAGAAAGAAAGAAGGCTGAACCCTTCCTAGCCACCCCGCATCCTACCTTCTGCAGGCAACGAAGGTCGTTTAACTCGTTCATGTTCATGTTTTCCTGACTCTTCGCAATATTCTTTCTTAAGAGAAGATTAGCGGGAACATGGCATCTTTGATGGGGACTCACCTGACAGCGAAGTTGTGTCTTGGTTGTCTCTGGTCTCTTCTGGATGTGTTCTGACCCTTAACCCACAGAAAGCAAGTGTTGGAAAGAGCCCCCCAATCTCTCTTTCTCTGTCTGTGTGTATGTGCACGTGCACAGAGTGTGTGAGTACACACGTGTGTGTGTGTGTGTGTGTGTGTGTGTGTGTGTGTTTGTGTGTGTGCCTATGTAGAGGCCAGAAGTCAACATCCGGTGACTCCTTAATCACTTTTTACCTTGGTTTGGAGACAAGGTCTCTCAGTGGACCTGAGCTCACCCTTTTGGCTAGTGATTGCCCAGTAAGCCGGTCTCCATCTTGCAGCAGATGCCAGGCTTTGCGTGTCCAAACCCAAGTTTTCCTGCTTATGCAAAAAGCTCTTTACCCTTTGAGCCATCGTCCCAGAAAGAACTCTTTAAACAATCAAAACTCATGGTTTTCACTTCTTATTTTACAGACGAAAAGAGAGAAGTCCACAGTGGTACCCTAGGCACAGACCCATATGCCAGTCATGGGACAGAACCAGAATTCGCTCTCGAATTCCTTAGGCAGCACTTCTCAGCACTTCCACAGTTACTTTTCACCTCATCACAGAGTGGGCAAAGAACGGGGAGCGGCTGGGGTACAACGCTTTTTAGTGTGTGTGTGTGTGTGTGTGTGTGTGTGTGTGTGTGTGTGTAGCGGCTGTAGACAGTTTTGCCCCGCGATCTTTTTGTGGTTTGCTTGCTGCCCTTCTAAAGTCTCCGGGAAATTTTCTCTGAACAACGCTGAAGGAACTGAGAAGCCGTCCACTGATCTTATCTTCTGCAGCAGCAGCTAGGAAGCGTCGCGCTCACAAACGTCCTCTAGCAGAACACCCTCCACTTAAAGCCCATGCCGCTGTGCCTGTTCGTCTGTTCGCCCCTCGTCTGTTCTCATCCTCTGCCTTTAACTTACACTTTTCTCGGTGTGAAAAAGAAGTGAAAGCAGCATTATTTTCCTTCTGCATACTTTCAGACTTCTAAATTGTAAGACAAAACATCCATACAGAGGTGTGAACAAATAATAAAAAAACACTTTGAATGAATAACAATCGCATAGTCTCCCTAACCCCCACAATTACCACACACTGAGAATAAAACACGTCCAGCACAGAGACACCTTTCTGCTTTCTATGGTCTTTCCTGATTCAGACTCTCTTCTCTCCTCCAGGCAACAGCACTAGGGTGGATTTGGTGGCATCCATTCGAGTTATATGTCACGCCTCTACTCTCTTGGTGATTATGCAAGGAATCACGTCTTGTGGACATTTACTTATCAAAGGTTGCACATAGCGCCACTACTTTCCTGTCGTGTTCTGGGCAGACAGGTGGCTTCTTCCAGTGTGTGGAAGATGTGACTTCCAATTCGGCTGCATCAGGCGTAGTCTTTATAGCTGATACTGGCACATCTCTGGTCAGTCTTAATGGTTGCTTTGATTTGAAGGTAGTCAGTGTCTTCCTCAAGCTTGTTTTAGACACTCTTTCTAAAAGGCTGTGTGTCTAGCTGTGGGCAGTTTAAAAGTAATTCTTTAAGACTGGTTGAGATTCTTGAATCTGTGCACTGTGCCTGAATTCTGGATAAGTTGTCTACCTATCTTTTAGTTCATCAGTTCTCTTTATAGCCTTGCCTAATATACTTTAAAACCTACTCCTTGGGTATTTTTTTAATCCGTTAGAGCATTTTTTGCAAGTCTTACTTATTTCTTTTTCAAATTAGTTGGCTTAAATTTTTTCCTTGACCCTGAAGCTATCATTTTTCAAAACATAATGAGCACAACTGTTTCTTTTTGGGGGTGTCTGCTAATTCAAAGGCATGTGATGCTCTGGTTGCTTGTGTTATCTGCTGATTCTGTTGTTCTCTTTACCTTCTAGTTCATTCTTCCCTATTGTACCTGTCACTGTAGTTTAAAGCACTCTTTGTAAGGCTGAGTCACATCTCTTCTACACAGGAAGTGTGGGGTGATGGCAGTCCAAGACCACTTTAACTAAAACCCCAGGACTGAGATTTCCCTGGACTACACCAGACATGAGAGTCAGTTCCCTCGGGCTTCCCTTTACTCCAAGGATCATTCCAGCATTCTTTGGGAATCAGCTTACTGAAGGAACATCTCCCAGCTTCCTCACTTTGCAGACTCTGGGAGATAAAGCATAAAGGCAGAAGTTCAATCATGGGAGAGCAATAAATGTTCTCGGAGCAAAAGCCCCTGTGAAGTTCTGCTCATGGCCCTGGTTCCAGGGTGTCATCTCACGTTTAGCCTGCGTTTTCTACCTTCTCTTCAGATCAGTTATTTAATCCTTGCAATACTACTTTTGTTTACTACTTCCTGTTGTTTTATTGTTGAATAAGGAATATTGACATCATTGGAAGCTGGAACACTTGTGTTTACTTTTTACAGCCAAACCTCTAATTTGAAAATGTTTCCTGGAAATATGAGAGGTATTCACTAAGGGCTAGAGAGACTAAAAGAAATGAATAAACAAACAAACAAACAAATGGATTGTGATGAAGCGTGAAAGGAGCTAAGGCACCAAGCATAAACAGAGATATGGCAAACGGATCATCTTGTATGCTGCCAATCTTCATACAAGTTAGAGCCCTTCTTTAAGGAAATAATATGGCAAGACATATTTGGATAAATGCCATGGTGTTTACAGAAAATCAGAGTGCTGAAAATAATCCTGATATCACCTAAGTGCTTAGTTTTAATAAATCATGAAAGATTAACACAAGTGGCTCATTCTATAGTAATTAAAAATGACCGTGTTAAATGGGTAAAAAACTGTTTATGATAGGGCATTGTATGATGATAGCGGAGCACAAAATACTGTGTTTGCTATATAAAATTGTACCACTAAAAAGTCAAAGTCAAAAATATGGAAATGCTTTCTGTTTTACTAGGGATGGCTTTTTTTAAAAAAAAATTATTTTATACTTGTTGGATCTTCTTAAGAAAAAAGGAGATTTTACAACTTAAAGCTACCATTTTCCCAAACAATTTTAGTATAAAACTTTTCATTAAAAAATGACATGTCTTTAAAAAAAAACCAAAATAAACAGTAGAACACCTAGAACCTAGAAGCCAGGCTTCACAATCTGCAACCAGCTGAAACCATTTCAGTCTCTTCCTCCTGTGGTCTCCATGTAGCTCACAGAAAACAACTCTTGTTCTGGTGATTTTAAAAAGTGAAAAAGGAGCAAAAGTCTGGAGCCTCACCTGAGCACTGGCTGATTTGGTTCTTAGCGAGTGGGTTCCTAGAAGACACATTACTATTTGAACATAATTGACTTGCTCCTTTGCTTTTCAGTTGGAGGATGTAATGCTATTAATCATTTAATTTTAACTCCAGTAAATTTATATACTTTTAAAAGTTTTTACTCCCATAACACCTTTTTGAAAGCCTTTCCTTGTTCAGCTAAAGGAAAATCATACTTTAATTTCAGTTTTAAAACTCACTATTCAAAGGGGCATTTTCTGACCCTCCGGTGAAGATTATAATACACCCCCCCCAACCTTATCACATTTCCCTTGATAACATTTTGTTCCTAGCACAAATTATATACAGCTCATCACTCATTTCTCTGTTATCATCTGGCTCCCAGTGTGGAACCTAGAAAAGCATGGATATCCTCTCTGTTTGAATCATACTATCTAAACTTGTTACTTGATATATAACATTTTATATGTTATTACATGCAAAGCCCATTTATAGTGCACAGTTTTGTCTTGTCAAATACTAATTTGTTTGCTTTGCTATGAAATCTTTCATTTTTGTATAAATAGAGGTGACTTTATAAAAAGAAATCCCATTTCCACTTAAATATAATTACTAGGGCAACATGTTCACCAAACAGCATTCTTACTTTGTTCTTTTTCTTTTAATCCAGGAGAAATCAATGACTCAGCCGACCATACGATGTTTTCGTTTCACAGTGGACGTATCCAGATTTCTTGTAAATACCCCGAGACCGTCCAACAGCTCAAAATGAAGTTATTGAAAGGGAAAGAAGTCCTCTGTGAGCTCACCAAAACCAAGGGAAAGGGAGACGGGGTGTCCATCAAGAATCCGAAGTTGTGTCCATATGAGATGTCCAACAGCAGTGTTTCCTTTTTCCTAAACAACTTGTACGGTTCTCAGGGCAGCTATTACTACTGTAGCCTGTCGATTTTTGAGCCAGCTCCTTTTCAAGAAAAGATCTCTGATGGACAATATTTGTATATTTACGGTAAGACATTGGTTGGGGCGTATGTGCATTTCTGAGACTTTTCTCATCAAAGGACACAGACAAATGAGTATCTTTTGTGTTACATCCTTTATGTGTAGTTGGCAACAAGTCATCTTGGATGAAATATGCAAGGAATGATGTGTTGTTCATATTAAGTTGATATTTATCAGGAATAAGTGATTTAGTTACCTATACTGTTGAGTTAGAATTAGGGCCTAATCTTTCAAACACCCAGATCATGGCTCAGTGGATATTACCTCTACTCACTTAAGGTAGAAAGCAGTTTGGAGAATGAGGTGAGACAACCTGAAAATCAGTTTTATACCATGGATTTTCCTACTTACTCCTGTGACAGCTGCAGATAGAAAGTCTCTATCATATTTACAAACTAGCATAGTCTTTCCAGCTTGAATTTCAGAGTCCTTGCTACAGTGTGGAGGTGATGTTGGTTGCCATCTACTGGATCTCATCATTGTAAGGAAGAAAAGCCTTCCTTGATTAAAAAGCTTCTTTATGTTTTATGAAAACATTCTCTCTATGCAGCTATGAATGAGGACATGTATTTCTGAGTCTTTCATCAATGTATCTCTCCCCACCCCACCCAGAATCACAGCTCTGCTGCCAGCTGAAGCTCTGGTTGCCTGTAGGGTGTGCAGCTTTTATTGTGGTATACATTTTTGGATGCATACTTATCTTCCGGTTTGCAAAAAAGGTAAGCGATTTCTACTTTTGCCTATACTCGTTTTCCTGGTTGCTTATTTACTCACCAATGCCTGATGCTTTTCTCAGAGCAACCTGAGCAAAAGGGAGACAATTCCTTTCCCCTGATTTACACACTGATTAAACTAATGACTTGGAACAGAGATTATATGTTTGTTTTTTAATAGCTCATTTTATTCCCAAAAGGACTCCGGGGGCTTACAGAGATATATTATTATTACTATTTTTTTCATGAAAAGATAGAAAATTGGGGCCTGTCAAAGATAAAGGTTAGGAAGGAGGATAAAACATAAAAATAGATACCTTTGATTCTTAAAAATTGTTAAATGTTGGATTAATATTTGAATATAAGCTTCCTAAGAGTCAAGACAAAGCTGAAACAATTAGTTGTTAAGTTTCTCTTAATTAGAAAATTGAAACAGTGAGATTATCTTACTAGGTACCAAGAGTAGTTAAGAAGGATACTGCTTCTTCATATGTTACATTGCCAGACTCCTTGTTTTTTAAGGAAAATGTCTGAAAAGCTATCTAGGACAGTATAATAGGAATAACAAAATATTTCTTTTTATTGTGGAACGTTCTTTTTAGCGTTTAACATTCACACAGCACATTCTCAATCAAAGAACTTACTCCATTCTGCATATTATGTGTATATGACAGTATGCAAGTGCATGTTCCTGTGGCTGTCGGTGAGATTTGTGTGTGTGTGTGTGTGTGTGTGTGTGTGTGTGTGTGTGTACATGCACACTTCTAGGCACAAGAGTCTATTCTCTCCTTCCAACACTTAGGCACTGGGCATTGAACTCAGGTCATCAGGCTTGGCGACAATGCTTTTTTTTTTCCCACTGAGCTATCTCATAGGTCAGACAGCGCTTTTTTTTTTTTTTTTTTTTTTTGGTTTTTCGAGACAGGGTTTCTCTGTATAGCTTTGTGCCTTTCCTGGAACTCACTTGGTAGCCCAGGCTGGCCTCGAACTCACAGAGATCCGCCTGCCTCTGCCTCCCGAGTGCTGGGATTAAAGGCGTGCGCCACCACCGCCCGGCCTCAGACAGCGCTTTTTATTGGAAACCTTTTGCATATTGTTCTACTGAGTCTAAGTCCATAATTATGCTTTTGTCACATGCCAATTCAACAAAAGCCAGAAAACACCTGGAAAACGAGCCTGAAGGTGGGGAGGTGCAGACAATAAACCATGTTCCCAACTTTCTCTTCCAGAAGTACGGATCCAGCGCGCATGACCCCAATAGTGAATACATGTTCATGGCAGCGGTCAACACAGCCAAAAAGTCTAGACTTGCAGGTATAGATTCCCCTTGGGGTTTGGGGACAGGGGGAGCACTCTGCATTATTAAGACCTGATTTTTTTATTTATTTGTGTATTTATATTGTAAAAGAAAGGATAATTTTAGTATTTTATGTGAAAAATCTGGATTTTCACTTTAACTAGGCTAATCCACTTTTTTGTATATTAAAAACAATGTTTGTAAATCACTATTAAAATAAATTAACAGGGGTGATGGCTGTAGTTCAGTTGGTAGAGTGCTTATCTAACACATATGAAACCCTGGATTCAATTCCAGCACCACAAAAATGGGCATCGGGTCACACACCCGCAGTCCTCGAACTCGGGAGTTGGAGGTAGGAGGATCATAAGGGCAAGATCATTTTCAGCTAGACAGGGAGTTGGAGGCCAGCGTGTGATATATGAGATTCTGTCTCAAAAATAACAAAAAGAAAGAGGGAGGGAGAAAGGAATGGTAGAGAAAGGAAAAGTAAAAAAAGAAAAAGAAAAACCAGGCTGCAGTAAGAGGATGGCAATTCAAGTCTAGCCTGGGCTACAGAATGAGTTGCTCCATGTGAGGCTGATGCATCCTTGTCTCCAAATAAAGAGGAAGAGGGGGGCTGGATGTGTGTTCAGCTCACTGTCGAGCACTTGCCTACCACACATGTGGTCTTAGGTCCAAAGCCCAGTACAAAAGAAAAAGATCTGTAGGTCACAGTTGTTTCAAGGTAATTTTCAACTAAAATTTAACCATTTGAGGAATATCCGGGCCTTCCTTGTTGTAATGTTCATGCAATTAGACGGTGCACATTCATTGAATACCCTTAAGTGCAACCTTTGGAGTAAGGGACCAATGGGTGATGGGGACTTTTGGAAGAGGCTGAGAAGAGAGGTTTACATTGATTCTGGGGTCGGGGGATGCGGAGGAGGAATTCATGATGATACTCAGTTGTTTGGAAATAAAGAATGTGCAAACCTGGGAGGCACTGGAAATCCAGCTGAAGCTTTTCCCTCATCCATTGAGAGGTAGAGGTGGGTGCTGTCAAGTCTGAGGAATATCCAGAGCACTTGAAACATGCATTGTGGAAATTTTACACATCTGGTGCCCATGAGTAGAATGATGAGGGGCAGGAAAAGAAACAGAAGCCATCACATTTTGTTACTACTCAGTGGCTAAGGGACGCACATAGATTGTCACAGGATCACTGCATGGAAGAAGGCCTAACCTTGTACGGTTAGTCTTTATTCCCTTTTCAGATAATTGGGGCTGAGGTCCAGATGTCCGGCGTCTCCTTTCCAGACAGTTAATACCACAGCTTTGGTACTTGTTACCAGCTCTGTTTGACTACTTTGCTCCTGAAAAAAAACAAAACAACAGCATACTTCACCCCGATCGTTGTGTTAGTAATAAAGTGTTCTATCTTAGTTTGAGTTCCCTCAAACAGGATCCGAGATAAGGTCTTGGGTACAAATAGTTCACTGGAGTGGTAACCCCAGGGCGAAGGAGGAGAGGGGCAGAGAAGAGAGAGACAGGCTAGAAGAGAGGCAATTGTGAGGTTGAGGGTATGTTACCAGGGTGTTGGCGCTTGGTTCTGGAGGTCTGACTTAACAGGACCTCTGTCAAGTGTACAGAGGCCTCCTACAACTTATGTGAAGGATGGGAAATGGATCACTTAACCACTGGTTTCATTACTGAAGGTGGGAGCTCGCCCTCATCGCTGAACTGGGTTCAGAAAAGAGCCATTCTCAAGTCTTCAGAGAAAGCTAGAGGCAGGAAGGCAGAGTGAGGGACAGTGGGGTGATGGTGCTGGAGTAGTCCGCACATGCAGATAAGCCTTGCTTGGCTGCGGCTGGAACCAGCAGTGGATACCTCCAAGTGAAGTGTTCAGATAATGTCCAGTCCTACATCAAGAGTGGGATGAACAAAGCTTCATGGGAAATGAGGATCTGGTGCTGGGTCTTAGAGCATAAAGATTGTGTGTGTGTGTGTGTGTGTGTGTGTGTGTGTCTGCTTATGAGCGTACACCACAGGGAAAAGCAGAAAGCTTTTTGAAGGGAATTCAGCTCATGTGGAATTTTTGTTACAGGCATGCCCTCATAATCTGGACCACTTTGGCATCCATGGAGGAAGCACCCTGACCAGTTCCCCTGAAACTTGAACCGAGAAATTCTATTTTCTGGACCACAGGGCATCTGACTTGATCTGACTACAGCAATCTCCTTTGGGTATTTTGTTTGGATCAGTGACTACTGGGCACTCAGAATTTCAACAGACTGCCTGGGAATTGCTGAGTTCTTTTAAGGCAAACACCTTCTTATAGAAGGTCCCGCTCATGTGTACTCAACAAACAGACCTCACTGGGTTAGAATCCCCTCTCTCCGCACCTGCTTCTAGCTACACACCGGCCAGTAAAACAAACACATCGACAACATTTTCACAAAAATGCCAAGGGTATTAATCTGCAAAGTGCACGGGCAGCCAAGGGCCAGCATCTGCCCTCATTTTTCAGATTATTCTTGCTGTAGTGATCAATAGTCCTTCTAGAACCAGACAGCAGAGGGAGATGCTTTCATAACAGTAGCTCTTGTGTTTCTGAGATGTTGATGTATATACTGCATTGAACTCATACATTAGTGCCAACACAACATTCTCTTCCAGCTTCTAGACTCCAGTTCATCACTGCTCGAGGGGTTTAGATGCCTTCTCTTGCCTTCAATTTTCCCTTGAAAGATTCTTCCACATGTCTGCTTGGCAGCCTGCAGCCACTCCAAGGAGGAAGTCTACATTTTCTCCCTTCTGTTGCTCAAAAAAAAAAAAATTAGTGGATATAATTTTCTATATTCTCCCTGCCAAAGTAGTTTTTTTTCCTTCAAAGACATCTTATTTTCTCAAATTCAGTTAAAATGTGTTGATACTAGTGGTAGGAAACATTGCTCAGAATCAAGAGCAAATTAATTTTGTTATTGTGTTTTCTACCATTATCTGTGTTTCCATGGTGCTATTAATCACAAGCGTAGCTATTTTTGTAGATCATATTAAAGTTGCAAGCGAGCAAAGCAACCCATGGTTAATGGGCAAATGCTCTCCTGGGGTAGAATGGATGATCTATTTAGCCTGAAAGCTACAGTTTCTGGAAATGGCAGCCAAACTGTGGCCATCCTTCCTCTGGATTGGACAGATGGAAATGGTTTCCATGAGCCTGTGCTGGAATGCCAAGGTTGGGAGAAGTCATTGAGCCTGGGACAAGCAGCTTCCTTTGGTCTCTAGGATCTGTGAAGATGCACAGAGGAGCCAAGACAGAGTTCCCTCTCCTCAAAACTATGCAGCCTGGAAGTCAGCCCTGGCACTTTAGGATAGTCTTTAGAACATGAGTTAGCTGGAAGGATTCTGAAGTGCAAGCAGCATGTGATTGCTCTGAGCTGGACCATTTTCTCCACGTTCCTGTCTGCATGCCTAAGGCTTCTGGAGCAGCCAATGTGTATGCAACATTTATTTTTTTTTAAACTTTAAGTAAAACAAGGCTGCTTCATAGTCTTAAATTGTAGTTGTCTACTTACAGTTTACTTTAAAAGTGAGACCTGATGTATCATTATATACTTATTAAGTTAAGCATGTGTAATGCTGGCTATGTACAGTACAGTACTGAACTTGTAATTTGAATCAAGTATGGTATTCTCTCTTTTCAGCCGACTCAGGCAGCCTGGCTGGCTTTGCAAGGGCATTTCCCTGAGTTAGATGTACCTTTCTGGGTGGGGGTGAAGGTGCGGACGCTGGCCTTCACATTGTTCTATGAAGGATCCCCATCCCAACACTGAACAATTAACAATGAATTATTAAAGAATGAAATTTCTGTGAAATAGAAACTGGCTTAAAGAGGAGCCACTTATTACAAGATATTAACAATAGTAAGAGTTAAAGGATAAACATTTGTGTCTAGCAATGGACTATAATCTCACTATGTTTTCGGGGGAGGGGGCAGAGAAGTGATGACCTTAGCTGCCACATACAAATTAGCCCTTGCTTTCCAATGACTTGTGTGCTGTGTAAGATATTTGCTTCCTTCATCTTGCTCTCTCCTCTTTAAACTTTGAAATATCTACAAACTTCTAAAAGAGCCAGAAGCACAGGACAAAGAGTATTCTGCTTCTGAGTTAGTTCTGCATTGACCTCTTAGTCCCATGGAATGGTGCTGCCCATTTCCTACAGAAAAGAAGGGTGTACTCTGAGGACTGGACTACCGCCGATATCAGAAGATTACAATCTAGTCTTCGTTCTGCATTCAAGATCTGCCCCTTGCTTCTAAGATACATGTAGGAGCTGAAGGTTCTCCTGGGGACTTCCCTTTGTGTTCAGTTGCTCTGTCTCTGGAGTGTTCGCTCTGGACAGTTCTTCAGTCTGTGACGGCTCTTTTGCATACCACAAGCCATTATTTTGTAGAATGTTCCTTGTTCGGGCTACTCTGATGCTTCTTCACGAATAAAATGAGGTTATTCATCTTTCTCAGAAATAACACAGAACTGGTATTGTGTTCTTTCAATTGCGCCCTAAAGGGCAGCTCACAGCTTTGGTTTGTTATGTTTCTGCTAATGTTCATTTTCATCACTTGACTAAGGTCATGTCTGTCACGCTTCTCCATTGTAAAGTTAATAAATAAACCCCCATAGTTAATAAACTCTTTTGTGAGAAAGTATTTTGAAATCCTCTGTTCCTCATCATAATTTCACTTTATTCCTGTGGTCATTTGTAGCTTCATGGTCTCATGGTTTCTGATTTTGTTCAATGGGTAAAAATAAATGTTATTATTATTCTATTTCCCCCCTTTTTTTTTGTTTAGAAATAGTGTCCTGTGGCTCTGTCTGACCCTCAAATTTGCTAAGGATGACCTTAAATTTCTGATTCTTCAGCCTCTACCTCTGAGGGTTGGTAGTGTGAGCCACCACACCTAGTTCTTTTGTGATAATGGGACTGAAACCAGAACCTCGAGTATGCTAGGCAAGCACTCCATCAACGGAGTTGTATCGCCAATCCATGATTCTGTTTTGAAAATAAAATTGTCCCATCCTTAGCAGTCAATAAAATATTCATTTGAAATGCATTGAAAGGCAAAGTCTAGGCATCAGTTATGCCCACTGCTGCTGGGATCTCCATGCTCCTAGGACCAGCCAGTGGACAGTGTTGGAGATATACATTTGTCCAGATAGATAGATAAATGTGTAAGTATAAATACAGAGACAACCATGATGCATATGCACATGTCTGTGTGTCTACAAAAATCTATGGACACATACACACACCTATGCTTATATCTATTCAGAAATCTATAAGTTCACATCCGTGCCATGAATCTCACACAGCATTTCATGGGCATTCTAGTTCGATATCCTTCTTTTATTTATCTGACTGTAGGAAACCCTACTCTCATATTTTTAATACACTAATTATAGATCAATTCCTGGCGTGAAATCTACCTGGCCTCCTCCTCCTTCCTTCTCCTGTCCTACTTCACATGGTTTCTCCTCGGACACGGACTTTCGTGCCTGGCTACCTAACTTTGGTACTCTCTTAGTCCAGGCTGAGCCCCAGTTCCCACCCAGAGCTTTCTCACTGCATGAATGCCCTTTTATCCTGTGTGGGGATCTCACACACCAGGCTGGGAATTCTGGTTTTTTGCCTCACTCAAGGCCACAGTGGACTCCGTGGGTGAAGATGCACAGGTGTATGCCCCAGGCTTTACAGTGGCCTGCACAGTGTGTCTATGGGGCTAAGTTCCAGTTGCCTGGCACAATACCCGGCTTGCTGACTATCAGTAGATATTCCTTCACTGACTTTCTTCTTTCCACGACTGCTAGTGTTTTTTTTTTTTCACCAGTCACAGATTCTTCTTACCCTGAAATGCTGTTTCAGTGTTTTCTAGAGGAACTCAAATGGAAACACTCCCTTTGATCTGTCAGATTGAGGGCACCCCATATTTCCTTGCTTTCTATTCAACAATGTCTACACCTTAGGGAACAAGGTCTTCATTAAACCTCCCCATAGAAACTTTAAAAACTCTATACATTTCTGTGGAACCACTGCCAAGTCATGCCAAAATGTGACCTGCTTCCTTTACCCTATCCCCAGCATAAATGTAGGAGAAGGAATCTTATGAGAGTCTGACTTACTGTGTCTTAACTTCCAATGAATAAAATTCTCTCCCTTGTAATAGTTGTTTTTTTTTCCCCCAATTAAGTTCGCAGTCCTTATAAGGAGAGACCACTTTTTTCCTTTTGTGATCCAAATCCTTCACTCTCTCCATTAAAAACTAAAGACTTTTATTGGGTAGATAAGATTTCCCTGGGGCCACAGAAGACAAGCTGTGCCCAGACTTTGTTAGTTAACCTTCATTCTAGGAAAAGAGGAGCTGGGGAATTTGGAATTTTCCAGAAGAGTGAACGCATCAGTATCAACATCTACTCTCCTCCTCCGGGGTCTGTGCTTACTGTAAGATGAGGAATATGGCGACTCCGCTGCCTTTTCCACCAGAAGGCAAGCGATGATGTCTTTCACTCCATACCATGTTTTATTTCTCTCTGCTTTGCTTGTTAGCACTTGTGATTTCAGTCTCTGAATCCTAACAGCTCACCACCTTGCCATATGTTCTGTCTATGGTGGTGAGACGGACTGGGATCGGTCTGCCAACCCAGGTGGACTCTTCACTTTCTTGGTCTTTCAAAATCTATGCATTGCTGTGTCATTTGGGGGGCATGTTCTAATCATGACCCACAGCATGATGTTACCTATGATTTCTTTAAGTTTTCAAGAAGCTGTGGTCAGGCTGGTTCACTGGGAAATATGGTCCCTGAGAGTAGAGATGGGCATAAGCCATAGACGTCTGGCCTTCTTTCTCCCAAGAAAGGGGTGCATCCATCTGTTGAAACAGGACTAAAAACAACTTTCCAGTTTCTTATGGAAAAAAATAAACTTTTGTGGTGTTAACAAATAATACAACAGTGTCTAAGTATATTCTCTGATGAATATACTCAGTCTTGAAATGTGATTTCTCCTAGGAGGTCTCTCTGTATTCTGCTATTTTGACTTTATAGTAATAATCCAACATGATTGCAGTCTATGACTGAAAAATGTGGCACTCTCTTTTCAATCATTATTGCAATAATGTGGAGCCCACTGAAAATGCTTTCTTGGGGTTAAATACCTCATCTACAGTCCAAACTCTTACATAAATTCCAGTAAAATACCTAGTATAAAACCCAAGTAACTGTAGGTCCACTCCAAAAGAAAAAAAAAGTGAGAGTTCATCAGAAATAAGTTTCATCTGAAAAGCAGGTATTTTCCCAGTCTTTGGGGCCATGCCAAAGTAGGGATGGGTTCATTGTAAAAGCACAGCAAAACTTCGAAGCAACAGGAAGAACGCCCTTTTCTCATGATCAAGACCTCCTCCATATACGGAGGCGGCTGCTGAAAGCATCCCCTTTCTTCCTCCCTAAGAGGTCCTAGGCCTCTTTCATCTCCTCTCACGCTTTCCTGCTTGAAACAGCCGGCGTGATTTCTCTCTTCCTTGATCTCATCATCCTTGCATGATTTTCCTATGGCTGCCGCAGCAAATGACCACAGACTTGGTGTTTCATGTGGTGTAATCCAACGCACACTTATTCTCCTAGAGGTGTCTAGGCTGGAGCTGGATAATGGGTTTCACTGGACGCAACCAAAGGTGTTGGTAGCTCTAGGGGAAGAATCCATTTTCTTGCCTTTTGGTCCTTCTGACCTGTGGTTATATAATTTCAGTCTCTACTTCCACAGTTACATTGTCTTTTCCTCTTCTGTGTCAAATCTCCTTCTATCTGCCTTTTAGAGCACATTTACATTCACATTTTTTTTTTCAAAGACAGGGTTTCATTGTGTAGCCCTGGCTGTCCTGGGTTAGCTCTGTAGACCAAGCTTGTCTTGAGCTCATAAAGATCTGCCTGCCTCTGCCTCATGAGTGCTGGGATTAAAGGTGTGCGCCGCCGCCGCTGCTGCTGCTGCTGCTGCTGCTGCTGCTGCTGCTGCCGCCGCCGCCGCCGCCGCCGCCACCACCACCACTGGCTAAATTTGTTTTTGTTTTGCTTTTGTTTTCTTTTCTTCTGGCAGAGCTTGCCAAAATTCTAAAAGGTGACAAAGGTGACATTCGCTTCATGACTTGTTGGAAGTGGGCTAGACTAAGTTCTAAGTTATTTTAGGTCCGAATATCCCTTCTAACAGAAGCAAGAGTGGGTGTCTTCCTCGTCCCCCGAGTCCCAGGATACATTAAACGCAATGTGGTGGGGTCTGAATCTAGTCCCTTGCCACACTGAGGAAAAGCAGTTGTTTCTGGGAAGCATTCTTCTGGCAGGAAGAAACCCAAGTGAGTGAACAAGAGGGATATGAGGACCGCTGACTGGCTTCCAGCCACGGCTTGGATCTGGTCTGTCTAATGTTTCCAAAACAGGGCTTTGGTAACAAATCCTTTTGGGATGGAAGGATTAAAGGAGTATTTTTAAATAATCAGACCTGTTCTCTTCCAGTCTGACTTCGTTTCCTCATCCTAAAGGGACAATTATGTTAATGTGGATTTCAGGCAGATTATTACAGAAATCTAACTGTTCCGAGTTTTAGCTGTCTATAGTAAGCAGTTACATGTGAGGAAAAGGAAAGCCTGAGGCATCAGATCTGTTCAAAAGGAAAATTATTTTCGAAGCTCAGCAGAATAGAAGCTTGTCCCCAATCATAGATGCTCAAAGACTCCCCATTCCAACCTCACAGATGGCCCAATGGAGCGAAACGACTTCTCTTGTCCTGTTCTTACAGAGAAGAGAAGCAGACCAGAAACTAATGCTCATCTCCTCTCCATTTGCTTCATCCTACCCAGTCTCACTTCACGCACCCTATGGGGGCAGAGTATGGAGAGGACGAAAAGAGAGGAACGGGGAGGTTCTGGGTGGCAGCTAACTGGGTGAGAAAAGTCTTCTGCCCTTCATGAAGGTTTGGCCCCACTCCCGAGTTTCCCTGTTCCAAGCCAGTGCCCTCCAGCTCTCCATTCTGCCTTGACCAGATAACTGGTGCAGCCTTTTTTTTCTTATAAATTTTTGTCACATCTGAAAAGAAGTAAGCCTTTAATGCCAAGGAGTGATGGCAGAAAGCAGAAAGATATATAAGGCATGAAGATCAGAAACTAGCAGCATTTGGCTGGTTAAGCTTTTATTTGGTTAAGCTTCAGGTTTTCGAGTAGCAGTTCAGCTGAGAGCCATTGGGATGAGGACACAGAAGCTTCCAGTCTGAGGAAACAGGATCAGCTGAGGAACCATCGAGGTGAGATAGCTGTGGCTTGTTCTGCTTCTCTGATCTTCCAGCATTCACCCCAATAACTGGCCTCAGGTTTAATTTTATTAATAAGACCTGTTAAGATTCCTGCTACAAGGTGGCTAGAACTGGTCAGTGCCTTTTGGGGCAATCCATCCTTGAGGCAATAAGGATACAGAGCAGGAACTCTAGGACAATCAGGGAGCTGTACAGACTATGGGTGACTGCCAATGCATATTCAGATAGTGAGGAAATGAACAGCTTATCTAGTCTAACCCACAGTCAAGGCTGGCACTGTTTCCATAGTAATCTTGTAAGAGACACTGAGACATT